AGAAGATTATTTTCAAATGAAATCATTTTTGTGTTGCATAGCTAGAACTCAGCAACTCTGACATTATTTTTAGAAAAATATTTCAAACAGGAAAGCATCCCTAAGTAAATTTCATAAATTGTGTACCCTCTCCATTTGTGGTGCTAAATTCGTCTATTTAATCAATCATGGATATAAAATGCTTTAAAAAAAACTGTAACTGTTCGGATTATATAAGGACACATTTTGTCATTATTCCCTAAACAGTATAGTACACTATTTCCATTGCATTAAGTGGTGTGTTAGGTAATTGTATTATAAACAGAGATGCTTTGTAGCATATGGGAAGAGGTAGATAAGTACTATACTATTTCAGACATTTTAGAAGTAGGACTTGAGCACCCACCAATCTTGGTGCCCACAAGGGTTGTTCAGAATCAGTATACCATAGATAGTGAAGGACAAATGTACAGATGCATCAGTTTCTGTTTTTCATAAGAACTTTTAACCAAAAATTTTATTGTTGATTTATAAAAGATAAAAGGAAAAGTTTAATTATAAATGTGTCAACATCAATTTAGGACTAAACTTAAAAATTCTAAATATTAAATATTAAAGCAATCTGATAAGTTTATAGATGTATTTTTAGCCTAAAAATGCTTATAATATATATTGTAAAGCTTAAGGAAAACATTTTGTATTTCAAATTCCCTACTTGATCTTTGTGTAAATGAATCAGTGTGAAGAATTAATCTCATATACTCTACTACTTAGGAAAAACATTATAGAAACTTGAGAACTTATTTGTGAGAATATTAACTATCTTATTAAATTATTTTCATAATAGTAATAGTCAACTCACAGATTATCCAGATACTTTTAACCTCCTGATCAGTTATCTTTTGATTAGTTAAGAAATACATACTTGTAAAAAAAAATAGAAGACCTTTTAAAAACTCTATAAAATTTGTCAAGTATTAAATAAGCTGAAAAGGCAGATAACAAAAAATCAATTGTTGAAAGAATAAAAAATATCTAACTTCAAGAATAAAAATGTTCTTTCCTCCTATTTTTTGGCTGTCACACTGTGATCAAGGCCAAAATGTCATGGTAATAATTATAACACTAGTCAAGTATAAAATTCTGCTTCACACTGAGTCTTTTCATTCTTCATGTGGAAACTGGTGCACTGCTTTTCTTGCAGAATTTTTATGAGCATTATAACTAATGCATGCAAAGTACTTAATACTGTATATATATATATATATATATATATATATAGTATGTGCTCACTAAAAGGTGTTGTTTTAGGAAAACTTAATAAAGTACAGTTAATCCTCATATACTTTTTCTTTGAAATACGTTTTTTTAAAATGTAGGTTAAGCACATATAAGAAAATCTGAAAATGCTAACATTACACTTAAAAAATCTGAAGTTCTGAATTTTGGATCTTTGGATTAGGATGTTCAAGCATTAAAGTGTTTATATAAGCTCCAAAATCCTCGAAGTCTGAATCTGAGACATTTCTGGTCCCAAGCATTTCCAAGAAGGAATAGGCAAAGTGTAAAGAGTACACACTGAAATAATCACTTCGAATGCGCAAGTGTGAGGATTAACATTCTAAAGTGAGATTTCATCTTAATGTTCCTTTGAGTAATTCTGCTGAATTATATCACCTTAGGAATCAACGTTAGGTTACCAAGCCAATAAATGCCCAGCATCAATTGGTTTGTATAAACCAATCTCTTTTTTACATTTTGTGTTTCAGTGAGACTGGGATCATCATATTTTCCTGCCAATTTTTCCCAATGTAGTTGGTATGTAAATAGCATAAGCATAAGGCTGCATCATACTTATTTTCACATGCTCAGTGTGGTGCCCAAATCTGAAACAAGGAGTCACATAGATAAGCAGATAAATGATCAGTATACCTTTGCTCAGATGCCTCTGCTTAATTTCTCACCTCATACCTGGAATGTGTTGTTAAATTTATGAATTTATAAGTGCCTTGTATTTTTGGAATTCAGACTCAGGTTTTTTGATTGTTTTTTGGTCTTTCTGCGATAGGGTCTCACTATGCAGTTCAGGCTGGCCTTCAGCTCACTTTTGTAGTTCAGACTGGTTTCGAGTCACAACCATTCTCCTGCCTCAGCTTCCCAAGTGCTGGGATTATAGGCATGTGCCACCATGCCCGGTTTAGGTTTTCTTTTACTTAAAAACATATATAAAAAGCATGCATTTTGAGGAGGAAGAGCCAGTTAAGGAGCTGCAGGTCTTCTAATATAGAGTTAGCGCCTGTGCTGAGGTGGTGGGGAGCGCTTTGCCTCTGTGCGACCCAGAAAACAGTGTCCAGCGAGTTTGCAGCAAAGCCTCTATAAAGCGAGCACTAGAGCTTGGCAGCTCAGATTGAAACCCAGCAAGTGGCAACATCAAACTAGGAGTCATAAGCCACAAGGCAAGTACAAAACTTCCTTTCTGCTTCCAGAAATGGAAGAGCTCCGGGGATGCAAGGCATACCCTGGCAAGGTCTTGCTCCCAGGAAGATTCTAGGCATTCCAGATCAAAGTCCAGGTCCATATCTGAACCTACATCTAGATCCACAAGTTCTGGAAGGCAGCAGACAACATCAAAATCTTATTCTCATAGATCTTCCCAGAGCAGGTTTTACAATGGAGATTATTGCAGATGCCACAGCCACAGCCACGCTCCCATGTCTACTCAAACTTGGGCAAATCCTGATCCGAAGTGTTACCTTGAGTGTTTGGGGTGCGCTCGTACACCACAGAAAGAGATTTAATAGAAGTGTTCTCTAAATATTGCCTAATTTCCGATTTGTACATGACCAGTGGTCTACGCATTCAAGACGATTTGCTTTTGTGTGTTTCGAAAATGTAGAGGATGCCAAGGAAGCTCAAGAACATGCCAATGGAATGGAGCTGGATGGGTGTTGGATCCGAGATGATTTCTCCATAACAAAAATACTACATAGCTCAACATCAGGAATTTCCATGGGGAGACCTACCTGTGGCAGTTCATGCCATCGAGATTACTGTGGCAGAGGACGTGACTACAGTCAGGACTACTACAGATCAGATAGAGGAGGTGGTAGAGAAGGAGGTGGACTGACAGCTGCTCAAAGCAGGGATCAGATTTACAGAGGACAATCATCTGTGCCTTAGTACAAGATATAGATTATGCTCAGACCTCGAGTCTACTCACCTCATCGCTATTAAAGCATGAAGATGAAGACTTTCTGAAACCTGCCACAGAGCCAGGATGTTGTTTGTGGACAATATTTTTATTGTCTGTTTACAAAATGAACAGTGCCTAGTGAAGTTAGGTGACTTTTACCCCTTTATGGTGACTACTTTTGGTGGAGTTGAAATGCTGTTTTCATTGTGCATTTGTGTAGTTCGGTGCTTTGTTCAAAGTTAAGTATTTTCAGAAAAGTATGTTTTGCATGTATTTTTGACTGCTGAAAAGTTTCTATTGTACAAAACTTCATTTCAAAGGTTTTTCTCCTGAATCCAGGGTAATCTGAAGATGAGTGTGTGTGTATAAATGCTACCAAATCACAAAAAGCAACAGTAAAGTCTGATTTTTATTTTTGTTTTTTAACATTGAGGCTTAGAACTATTTAAAGTTATCAGTAAATTCAAAGGCAAAAATACCCATTTTCCTTCACTCCATGAACAATACCATATTCAATATATCTGCCACTAAACGTTAAAAATATGCTCTGTATTTCTGTATCGATAGTATTAGAACTAAGTTTTTCAATACAGCAAATGCTTAATGCTTAAATAAATGTGGATTTGTCAGCCTTTATGTAATCTGTATTATGTATAGCAGGGAATAAGAAAAGAGTTACACATTGTATATGCCTGAGGGCTGTATGAAAGCTGTTAAAAGGGAATAATGGTATTTCAACGAGTTATTTAGCAAATACCAGTACATTCACCACAAATGTACTCTTGTTCTTTTAGCTTTTAGAACCATTAAAACAAACTGGATGCTTCTAAGTACAGGATAACAGAAGGAAACCTACACCCATCATGGGTGAACTGAAGACTGTATATTCATTTTTTAATATTATTAAGTAATATTAATAAATTCATTTTAAAATATTATTTTCAGGTCCTTTGCTTATCAAAAGAGGCCAAATTTCACTCATATGTGTTAAATGAATGGAAATTAAAAGAAAACTTTTTTTAAAAATTAAAGACATACATAGATATACATACACACACACACATGCACACACATATCTACATGAAACAAATTTAATAATGTAACTTAACACTCACTGACCTTATACGAGGTTGAACATTCCTATTCTGGAAACTCAAACTACAAAATGTTTTGAGCACTAATATGATGCCCCAAGTAGAAAACTGCACATCATAAAACGCTGTTTCACACTTATAATTATTAAAAACATATAATGTATATGTTGTATAATGCTACCATCTGGCTGTCTTTAAGGTATATACAAAATATCAAGGTTTGGATCCCACTTTCAAAATATCCTCTATACACACATTCGTATTACCAAATGCAAAAACGTCTGGAACCCAAAATCCAAAACATTCTAGTCCCACGTGCTTCAGAAAAGGGAGGTTCAACCCATAATAAAACCTTGCCAATTCCTCCCATTTCTCTTATATTCTCTTATATTCTCTATATTGTCTACCTGGCTGGAAGGTCAATCCATAAAGAGAAGCAACTGAGTTCTAAGTTGCTTGTTTGTCTATTTGTTTAGTTGTTTTGGAATAATATGTGAAACCAGAAACAGATTTATTTTTTCATAATGTAGTCATCCCAGCACTAAGTTCTGGCTGCAGTTCATGAAATAATACCTGTAACTGGAAGCATTTAATTTATAGATGCTCAAAAAATCTCTTTCTACTGCTAGACCACATTTAATATCTTCAGGGGGAAAATTAAAATTTAAAACTATTATTTTGATAAAGGAATAAAATTTTATCAGGGAAAATACTGAGAGGAGTCAAAATGATACCTTCAAGTATTTTTTTCTCTGAAGATACTTTAGAAGCAGAAGCAGGCACCTGATACAAGAAGTCACACAGGAACGTGGCCTGGGCGGGCTCCTGACTTAGGCCAGTGTCAGAATGAATGTCATGTTGAGGGAAATCTAGAAAAATGAATGAAATAAGCGATTTTAAAATCCAATATATAAATAATTATTCCTTTATGAATATGTAGGTGAGTTTTAAGCTAAAAGAAAAATGACTTCAAATTTGTCACTGAATAAATATATAGAGATTTATTTTACTTTGCATAAAATGTGCAAATAAGCAGCAAAGTCATACTTATTATTCATGTATGAAAATCGGATTTAATTTTGGTGGAAATGATTATGTGGGATTAACTATTTTAGTCTTCCATTTGTAAGATTAAAGAAATATAAAAGATGTACTTCCTGGAACTTTTTCTTGATATAAAAATATTTGGGTAATTATATATTTTTTTATTCTGATGATTCTGTTTAGTTGAGAAATAAACAGATTAGTTCTCAGTCCTTTTAGGCCTGTATCATAAGACAGCCGGGTAACTGCAGTGCCAGGGACAAACCTGAGAATTTGTTATGGTACAGAAATTCCATCTGCAGACTCTGTCCAGCTTTCTTGGCCAACAGATAGGGGGTGCTGTGCACAGGGTCTCCGGTGGCACACATGACATCTGCGCCACTGAAGAGCAAAGCCATGGTCTCCAGCACGTCTGGTTTCACGACAGCAGCACATAGAGCCTAGACATTAACAAAAAATATACCCTTTAAAGGAAAGGAAATATGAGTCCATCTAGGAAAGGATGGAAGTATGACAATTCATTTAGGAGATAGAGTCTGCACTTCTTAGGAAAAACTAAAGCAGCTTCTAATATATGTGCTAAGTTAGGCAGTAGGCATGGAAAGTCTGCTTGGTATGGATTTCAGTTACAAGCCAAGATCTCCAACTCTCCATTCACTGTTTTACTGTGATATTCTCCTTCCAAACTATCCAATCAATTATAACTGCTTACGAAGACACTTTTTTATTTGTATACTCTAACAGTAGCTGATGCTAAGAAAAATTCAAAACACTGTAAATGTAATAATGAAGTGTCCAAAGAAAGTTCTACAGGTGAATGATGTTAGTATATTTTTTTCCAATCTCACCAGAAGCTGTAGAATTTTTAGGTTATCATTCTGCTTGGGAAATGCGAAATATATATCTAAAGTATCTTTCCTTTGGGGACAGAGAATGGGAGGAAGAACAGTAAGTAAGCAAGAGACAAAAAAGTAACATCTTTGATTTATATTACACATCATCCTTGTGCAAACTCCAAAAAAGAGACTCGAAATATCTTTTCTCTTGAAGTAATAAGCTGCCTCTATCTCTGATCCACGCTGCATATTTTATGGCAGTTCTCAGACTGCACCTTATTTTCTTCCCATTTCCTTCTAAACACGCAGATGGTGCCTCCTGACTCCACCTAAATTTTCAGCTTCAGTCTCACTGCGTTAGCTCCTTCCAGACCAACTACACATGGACAGATCACTGGTGACTCTGCCCTCTGGGACACCGCCTTAGACAATGGCAGGAGCTGTTCCCAAGGGAAACTCAAAGTAAACATCCAAGAAATCTTGGGATACACTCATCATTTCTGCCCTGAGGGTCAAATGGTAAGAAAGAACTTGTATTTCCCAACCTGGCCTGGCTGAGCTCCGGAATTTCCTTCATCTCAGAATAAAAAAGCCCAAATTCTTACAACTGATTTTATAATCATCTGCCAGGGATCTTTTGGCAAATTCTGTCTTCCTTGGTCTTGGATTTTGCTTTAGGTGCAAAACATAGGTGTTGGAAAAAATAAAGCCACTATACATCTCATTCTGATGGTCTCTAGCACCTCCTCAGTTTGACTACGTTCTGTTCATTCCCTTTCTCATCACTCTTCTTTTCCTTCACAACACACTATACTAGCCATTGTGATTTAGTAGAATCTAGCTGTTGACCCTCAGTCTTCCTTGCTTGAGTACCATTCCCAGTAATAAAAGAATCACATGTACCTAGTATAACCCTACTGTATCCCCAGCACCAAAAAGAGGATTCAGTCATTAGCAAATGTACAAAAATAATAGCACAAATAATTTTCAGTGAAAATTATTCACTGACATTAACATGGTACTTTTAAAAAGTTCACTGTAGATGTACGTTCTACTAACTAAATTTTCCTAAAATATTTACGAGGTATTTGTTAGCACTTAATCTAAATCAATGGCTTCATTTATGGAAACTGCATGGTGTGACATACAATGTATCACTTGAGGGCATCAACAATTATGAGCAAGATTCACATTACCAACCAGTGGGAGAAGGCACTGGGGCTAACATCCAGCTCTGTCCTTCACGCTCACAACTGCCTTCCAAAATCTACAATTTACACTCTATGTATTTAGCTTATGTGCCTCTGATCTACAGAATCACACCAAGCATAATTCTAGGTTTAGGAAATCTTATTAACTCACGAATTTGGGGTATAATTGGTTGGTTAGCATACTGATTTAATGAGCTCCATAAAAATACTTCTCCCACAAATCTTAAACATGTCACTGAAAAACTTACATCTAATTATATGGTTCCCACCTCCCTTGTCCCAGCATCCTAACACTTCTTCACATTAGGAACCCATGCTAAATGTTGTATTTTTTTTTATGATGTTGCTTTAAAATTATGACAGCCCTATTACTAGTACTAAACATACAAAAAATGAAAGCAACTTGTTTTAACAGAAATCAACAAAAGCAAATTATATATGTGTATATATTTTTTTCAAATGTGGACAAAAGCGTCCCCCTCCAAATACTCAACACAATGGTACCTCCCTAAATATCCTTATCCAACAAGCCTGGCAATTAAAGAACTGAAAACAATGAAACATTATCATCTGAACATTGAAAAAAATGAGTATAGAAAGGCATCCATTTTAAATAAATAAGTCTACATAAAAGCCTCCTACTGAGAAAAAAAGTAGTAACTTAGAAAAAGAGGTGGAATATTTAAGAAAGTTCTTGACCTTAAAATCTTTGCCAAAAGACCAAATGGGCAGCATAAAATATTTATGGAAAGAGAAGCAAGACTTCAGTTGTACTTAACAAATTATAGTTTACAATAATAAATTAAATAGTCAATTTTAGTGACACTATCTACAATATAAAAAGTTACATTTTTATAAGACAAAGCAAGTATTCCAAGTTTCAAGAATATTGAAGAAATGTTGATTTAGCTGGAAACTAGTTATAGAGGAAAAATTCACCCATTTATGGTAGTAAATACTCAAGTAAAATAAGGGGAAAACCACTAGTGCAGTCTCATGAAAGGACATTCAAAAATTAAGCAATAATTGTTTAAAAAATAGTATAAGATCTTTTCTTACCAAGAATTTTGGCATATGTTTAAACATGCATTAAAGTCCATGTCTATTGTTATATTTTACTGAATACCTTATTTAATTCTTCTTTGGTCAGAGAGGCCAGAAGAGTTTTTCTAAATTTTCCTTCTCTGTATTTCTGAATAATAAAGTTCTTTCTCTTTTCTACTGGTGAGTCCATCTGTAATTCTTCATCCTTTTGAAGGTTACCAGCCCAAAAATCATTCGCTCTTTTGTTCCCAATAACGATAAAAAGCTGAAACATTTTTAAATATCATAGAATCCATCAGTTCATAAATATATATCCAGAAGCCTGCTTTTCATTATAAATTAAAGCATAACTTAACATAAAATGTTAAGAGAATGCATGAAAGACAACTTTCAGGAAGACGCAGTATGAAAGCAGGTGTATCTATTTTTAATATATAGCCTATTTGCTCTAAATAACAAAACATTAACTTGGAAAGAAACATTAACTTGCAAGTCATACAAACTGCAGGTACTCCAGTCTTAGTCTGGAACCCTGTATTAAAACTGAATCAAAACAGAGCAAGTGGACTAATGCTGGCGAGACAGAGTGAGAGCAGAAAGGGAGAGGTAAATGGAGACAAGGGACAGTATGAACAGCTCAGCAGCAGTTAGACAGAGGTTGGCCAAGATAAGGAACAGTAAATTCTGCCAACTGCCTTCATTCAGATTTCCAATGGTACCATGCTCAGCGAAAAGGAAAATTCTCAATTCTATAAAGGCTGTCAAGTCTTTACACAGTTGCTACTGCTAACGCCCCTTGGACTTGTTTAAGTAACTTATTTAAAGGTATCTGAGTTAGCTTATCAAACAGGTGAGTCATTTCCCTGAAGTGCTGAAAGCTTCACAAAAGAGCATCTAAAGAAATCCTGCTGCCCACACTTTGCACCTCTACATGACTCTTTACCACTGCAGTGAAACAGAACTCACCTCTATGAGTTCATTGCTCCAAATGCTGGCATCCATTTTTAGACTTCTAACCTTGGAATCTTTTGGTCCCAAAGATCTATGCTGTCCTGAAGTAAATAACAGTAAATAAGAATTCTTAGGTTAATTTTTACATGAATTTGTTATTTTCTCTTTAAAATGTGCATAGGTATATGAATACATGAGAACGTGAATAATCTCATTTTAAAACACCCTAGTATCTACTTTGCTAAGTGTTGCTAGCAGTTAGTAGTTTAATTAAAAAAAAAAATAAGGCATCATCACTCATTTTTGTTAGTATCCTGCATTGTACAAAAATATACTTTAGTGAAAGCTTGCAGCACACAGTCATTTTTTAACTTGTGGAAGTTGGTACATGTGCGTAACACATTGAAATTCTTTTTTCATTCCCTTTCCTTTCCCTCTGTGTTTCTCCTTCCATCTCTAGAGCTCCTTCCCATTTGAAAAAGATCTATTTCCCTGCTTTCTGTATCTTCTACTTTGCTGTTTATTTACATTTTGGGTTTCTTATATAAAAGGAACTATTCAATACTTAAGCATGTGTGTCTGATTTATTTTATTTAACATTATGGTCTCAAGGTACATCCATTTTTCTACAAATGCCTCAAGTTTATCCTTTTTTATGGAAGAGGAGTTCTTCATTCTGTATAAATACCACATTTTCTTTTTCCATTCACCTACTGATGGACATCTAGGCTCCTTCCAAGATTTACATGTGAAAGGAAGAAAAGGCAAAAGAATGGTAAACAGTTGGGAATGGAAAGTTTTTAGAAATCTTGAGGGTGTCAACACTTTAGACTTATGCAAGTTGCATAATGGAATAGAAACGACGGCTGAATAATCATGTAAGAGTAAGTGAGAAGGTGAGTGTCCTAAGAAAAGAGAAAAGGAAGGAAGCGTAAGTGGACATCACACACAGCTGTCTGCTCTGTGGAGGTTGGAGAGGAGAAAAAGATGGGAAAAATCTAATGCGGAGGGTGACTACTCGATGTTTTTCATTATTGCTCTGGTGCTGATGAGCTGGTGAGAAAAGCTACCTTGGTACGAGAAGTGTAATAGATTCGGGCTGTAGAAAAGTATGCATGTTTCTAGGCAACTGTGCAGCTGTATTGTTCATTTTCTTGGCTGCAGCTAAGGTAGGACGTCTTCTTGTATCATCTATCCCTGACCCTTTTACTAAGCTCATCCTGCTTCTCCACTGTAATGACCACTTATTTTCAGAAGAAACATTATGTCTTATTATCTGTTTAATTTCCCAAACTGGCACACATTTTAGGCGAAGTATGTGTGTGTGTATGTGTATGTGCACGCACATGTATGTGCATGTCTATCTGTAAGAGGGAGATAGAAAGCAGTCCTGGAAAAATGCAGGCAAGTTTAGATTGTAGTTAACTTTCTCCAGGACCTATAAAGCATTACTGTTCTGGGATCCACTTCCTTCTATCTGTTTGAGCTCTCAAATACACTGAGAACCCAGGCAGTCAAGTATTAAGCTCTCCATAAGAAAACTAGTCATAATATAGGTTACTTTCATTAGTATTGATACTGTTTTGAAATTGTCTACATAAAATTCATATTAAAGAGATGCCAGATCCATATAGGAAGTTTAAGGCTTGGAAAAACTTTGATATGAAAAATGTATCCTAAGATAACAGTGCAAAATGAGCAAATAACCACACAAAGATGCAAGCTCATGCTGGTTGTATTTTAAAACCTAAAAATTTCAGCACTGTGTTTTTAAAATCTATACATGAACCAACAGGCACAAAATATGATTATATGCTTAAAAATCAATTTTTATATCTGAGTCATGCATAAGAGGAATGTAGAATTATACAGTATTTCCAAATTGGTTTTAAATGTAATAAGCTCGCTCTGGTTCAACTTTTCAAAGCCATTAGCCAGGACACATTATGCATGATGACAATGAGCAATCAGTGCCAGCATGCCACAAAGCAGCGATGAGCATAACTTAGCACTAATTACCTGCACACTTCTTACAGATGACAACACAGAGATTGATGGATGCCCAGTCAGGATCTGGGGCTTTACAATCTGCACAGCTCCTGTTGGACTCATTGAACCAAATCTTCTCAGCTACTTCATAATCAGAGAGAGTTTCTGCTATTGATTGCTGCACAGCTTCAATCCAGTCTTGTTTCTCTTTTTCAGACTCAGCTGTGAAGCTGAAACAATAAACGTTTCTGCATTATCGATCTCCCTTGCAAAGGCCAATTAAGCAGTATGTTCAGCTTGCATATTCATTTCATTCACAAATTAAAAAGCAGTTGAAAAGCATGCCTGCCAGGCAGTTCTAAATTGTCCTTTCTGTTATAATTTAACCAATCAGTTTTTCCCCTTAAACTTTCCATACTGTTTATGACTTTGTTTACATATCTTGAACCAAAATCCCTATACACACTATTCTTACCAAGATATATAAAAACTGTTACATCAAAAGATTAAATAATATGCTATATTTCCTAAAAAAGGCTTATACAATCATCAGTAAGAGACTGGCAGAGTTTTAAGAATATTTTGGAATATTTTGTCAAGTAAGTATGCCATGATAGTCTGAGACTAAACTAGCAAAAACACTCACTGATTTGTTTCAGACTTAAAAACATATGTATTTTTTAAATTAGAAGAATATCCATATGACTTTGAGAGATTGATGTTAGGAAAGTTTTAAGTGGATTTTATTCTGACATATCTGCAACTCATTTTTAACCAGGTTGTCTTATTCTGATTCTTAATATTTCTTGGACATTTGACTAAAAGGGACAAAACATGAAACAGCAGTTATTTCTTTCAAGAAAGATTTACTGTAGACTGACAATATGCCAGGGAATGTGCTACGTACTCCATCCATGACTATCAAGATGATTCATCACACTACAATTTTCAGCTCAAAAAGTTCAAATGCCTCAAAATACAATGAAAATAATAGCTGGCTAACAATTCCCAGATACTCCATGAAAGTAGATGGCTTCCATATGTTTTCTGAAGCACTTCATGATTCCACTCTTATTATAATACTAATAAAATTCTCAGTTCTTTCAATAAAATTATTGGTCACAGCCAGTATCTCTATTTTCAGTTAAGATTAGAAGCCAGTCTTTTTACTTGCATTTACTTTTCTCATGCATTTGATGTTTTCTGGTTCTTTTGTTTGCTATATGAACTTTAGAGATCAAACGTAGGGCCTCAGACATGCTAGGAAATAACTCTACCACTAAACTACATCCTCAGACCCAGAATCTCCAAGTGTTAAAGGTAACACTTCTTGTTTTTTAATCAATAATTTCTGCCTCAAAATTTGAGCCAGTCAAGAAAGATAGCTTCTTTAACAAATGGTGTTGGAAAAATTAGCTTTCCACATGCTGCAGACTAAAACTACACCCATGTCTACCACCATGTACTAAATTAATGTCAAAATGGATCAAAGATCTAAATATTGAAACAGAAACACTAAATCTACTGGGGAAAAAAAGGTAGGTAGAAATCTTGAAGACACAATGGTAGGCCAAGAATTATATGAACAACGCAAACTGCATGGGAAGTATTTCAAAGAATCAACAAATGGGATCTCATTTTACTGAAAAATGTGGGCACTTCAAAGAAATTACCAACAAAATGAAAAGGAAGCTCACAGAATGGGAAAGAATTTTGCCAGCTGACCCTCAGACAAAGGACTTCTATCTAGAACATAAAAAAGAACTGAAAAACAACAGGTCCCCTAAATTTAAAGATTCAATCAAAAAATGGATATCTGAGGTAAATAAGCACTTCTCAGATGAAGGAATACAAATGACAAATAAATACACGAAGAAATGTTCAATATCACTGGCCTTTGAAAAATGCAAATTAAAACAGCATTGAGACTCCATCTCACTCCAGAAAGAATGGCTGCCATCAAGAAATCAATGGATAATAAATGGTGGCAGAGATGTGGGGAAAAAGGAACACTTCTCCACTGTAGGTGGGAGAGTAGACTGGAGTGGCCACTGTGGAAATCAGTGTGAAGATTCCTCAAAAACTAGGATTGGAAGTCTTATTCGATCTAGCTATTCCGCTTTTGGGTATTTTCCTTGAAAAATTGAAAGGGTCATGGTACAGTGATATATGTGCACCCATGTGTATAGCAGCACAATTTTTAATAGCTAAATCTTGGAAACAACAAAAATACTCATCAATCACAGAACAGATTAAAAAAAGATATATTTTTATGCAGTGGAATATTACTCAGCTATAGAGGATAATCTCAAGGCCTTTATATGTGAATGGAGGCAATTGAGACCCTATTCCTAAGTGAAATAAATCAAGCTCACATTTAAAAATACCATGTTATCTCCCTAGCATAAAAAAGTAAACAACTGAAAGAGTAATAAGATCCAAAATGTACAAAACGACATTGTAATAATGAAATAGAAAGTGTTCAAAAGGAAAGAACTACTGAGATAGGAGGAAAAAGAAAAGGAAGAAAGGAAAAGATTGTATGTATGTAAGCATACATATTAATTATTTGTATGAATGTGTACGCAGTGTAGATAACTGTACTACTAATCTCTGTTAGTTCATCAAAAAGAACAGTCTATGCTGGCATTGTTTGATTGTTTGATCATTTTTTTGTGCTTACATTTTGTAACCTGAACAGTTCCTTCTAAGATAACAATACACAATAGATTATCTAGTGTTAATTTCTTACTATTTATTTGAAATTCTGTACCATTTGTATTGTTTTCTAGTTTTGCTTTTTCATATTAAAAAAAACCAAAAACTTTTTTGAGCCTATTCCACAAGTAGGGAGACTGAAAAAGAAGAATCACCACCAACTCAAGGTCCTCTTAGGTTACATGATAAATTCAAGATCAAATCCTGTCTCTAAAAAAAAAAATCCAAGATGCATTTTGACAAAACATGTAACACTTAGTAGTATCTTGTAATCATCAGCCTTTCAAAGATCTAGAATGATTGCCTCTGACAAACACACTACCCTAAAGTACACTGATGATTTGTGACAAATGAATTAAAATAGCTGAATTCAATAGATACTAACTTACATCTACTCCATATACTCCTTCTATACTCAGAGATCATTAAAACAACAAATACTTTAAAAATTCTGCCACAAACAGATTCACTGCAGAATAAAAATATTGTCAATAATGGAATTACTGAATAATAAAAATCAAATTTGGATCGATAATTTTATGTGACTCACTAGATTCTGCATCCTTTTGAATCAAGTGTCTGGAGGACACATATGGAACAGCTTAGGTACAAGTTGGAATGGAGTGTAAGAGGGATAGTATCTGATTAGGCTAAAGGAAGGTAAGTAATATAACAGTATAAAATGCTTTTTTAAAGTATTCCTTTGAAATGTGAAGAAATTTGTCACATTTACTAATAAAAAAATAAATATTCAACAAGCCTACTAAGAAAAAAACATTAGGAAAACTACTCAAAGTTTACAGGTTGCACAAATTTTTCAGTCTACTTTTATAAGATGTTTTTGTATGCTAGCTAGTAAGTCAGACAAAGTGGAAAGGATATGTTTTATTTTCAATGTTTTATAGTGGACAAAACACCACTAGTATTACAAAGATGGGTTGCCAAGCTTTCTTGCAGTAATATAAAAAAGTTTTAAAATAAGCTTACCTGAAACTCCTATAGGGAGTGATAATTTCAAAAGACTGTTTCACAGTTCGATCCACTTGCTTTACATTTGCTACGTTCATAGGAATTATGGTAATACCAAGTCCACTCTTAAAATCCTGGTTTGGAAAAATAATTAAAAATGATAAACAAAAACCCTGGATTCTGAAGGTCTAATCACAGTTTTTCTGAAATCCAGTAATTCACATGAATTTTACTTTACATATGTATATAGAATATACATCTTAGTTACTTTTGATACTTCATAATACTGTACCATTCTAAGGCTGGCCTATTAAAAATCTGAGTCTTTTCACATAAAAGAAAAGTTGGGTAGGCCATAAATACTAATACACACCTTGCTTTTTAAAGCAGACATCATATTCACCTTCATCTACTCTGTAAACTAACAAATAATAACTCTTACCATAGGCCAAACTTTCTAGATGGCTGGACAAATGACAATATAATATTAGTCTAATTGCTATTTATATGAAAAGATGGGTAAACTGAGGCATAAAGAGTTTTTTTTTTAAATTATATGGACGTGTAGCTAGTTGCACGATCTGTCCGACTGTTCTTTCTCTCGGGTTCTTGTATTAGATCATTCCTGTTGTCCACTTTATTTTTCTCATCATTTCCCCTCACACAAAGGTATTATTTATCACCTGTATAGTTTTATCTCATATCCAATACTTTATTGCTTTCCTTTTCCAAAAGATTCTTAAAAAGCTTTTTTAATGCTACTTTGATATCAAAGTTATTAGATCAACAACTACAGCCACTGCATACAGCTTATCTCAAGCAAATTAGAAACTGTCCAAAATGCTTCAAAGAGATTATATTCTAAAAGTATTAAAGTTTGTAATACATTATCTGCTCACAGGGGTTTTGAAATCTTGAATCACCAAGTAAATAATCTCAACATTTTCCAAAATATAATATGTACCTCAAAAAAGAATTATCCTTGTGAACAAGTTTAGATTAAATGTTCTAAATTCAATTTAGATGAGAATAATATATCCATACTAAAGGGAAAGTATAAAGAAAAGAATTTATTCTCAGTAACATCACCAAAGACTAGAGGGACTAACAGAAAGAAGCATTTCACTGCATAGGAAAAAAGTAGCAGGACAATTTCCCATCTCTCGTATACCTATACATTTCCTAGATTTGGTCAATATCATATAAATAAGTTCTGGTGGAGTTAGGATCAGTCAATCATGGCTAAGAAAAAAAGCCTTTCAACCCTGAGCTTTCTATTTCTTGAGAAATGACATCTATAGGCTGGGAAACCACTTTAGAATTTTAGAATCCTTGCAGTAATATAAAAAAACAACCTTAAAAACCAATTCTTGTGCCTTGAGGATGCTGGAGTGTGGGAAAAATTAGAAAGACCTCTTTTCTGGTCACATCAAGTCGTCACTGCCTACATCAACAGATGGGTCAAAACCCTATCTTTTTAAACTCCCCATGAGGTTGCTTTGTTTAATATTTACATACTTTTGACTAATAAGTATGAGAAAATAATTTTATAACAAATTATCACCCATGGGTAATTATATTTAGTTTCCATTCACAAATGTTAGAAAATCATTCCTAATTTATTATTTTTATTACACAAGTATTTAGCTAGAATAAGAAACAATGACTTATTTAGAAAACAAACATTAGTGCATTTTTTTTCCTTTCCTGAAAAAATGAGCAAATGGCTCTTTTTATCAGAGAATAAATGGCAGAAATAGTCAGTATTGTAAAAGTAAAGAGAAATGTAGAGAAGTGTTTAGTGTTGTAAAATAATTAGGAAGGATTAGTATAATTCCACTTTGTAGTTAGTCCCCTGAATGAAACATAAGACCCAGTGTGACATATATGTATATATGAAACATCAAGCTTTTCTAATTGGCCACATCCTAGTAAGTTTTAGCATATCAATATAGGGTTGTACTTACTAAATTACAAAAGCAAATTCTGTATTATCCATAGCAATACTCTTGCAGGATAATGCAATTATTGGATAAATTACCAATGAATGTGACTGGAAAGTCAAACTCTCATTTATAAATGGGGCAACAAGGAAGGAATAGCAAAATGAGATATATTTAAAAGCACTTTCTGATGGCTCCCCTTGATAAACTATATGATAAATTAGTATATTTGGACTGCATATACTTCAAAAATTCTCCATAAAAAGGCTTTTGAAAAGAGCTGGACATCAGACCACTCCAGATGATATTCTTCCATGAGTAACATGCAAGTACTGCATGTTACTAAAGGCAGAGAGGCACACACTATTCTGACCATCAAACTAGCAGATGCTGCAAACGACAACCTTTTATGGAAACTGATGAGTGTCATCAAGATTCCTGCTTGAATAGATGGCCCTCATTTCTACCAGCAAGTCATGCAATGTCTACATCCAAAGCTGCAATTTCTGTTAAGTGAAGGTTGGCTCAACACTCCAAAAGTTCTCCCAAGCAAGGCAAAGATGATTATTTTAGCCTTGAAAATTGTAACCCATTTATCAGCTGCTTGCCATGGCCATATGGTTTTGAGTAATTAGAGTTTCTGCATAGTTCACCAACACAAATTGACTGTAAAATATACACGAGAGTCACAAAATAAATGTCAGTGTTCTCAAGAGCTATTAAATATGAAACAAGAGGGGCTGGGGATTTAGCTCAGCGGCATAAGCACCTGCCTTGCAAGCAGGCAGTCGTGAGTTCGATCCCTGGTACCGATAAAAAAACAAAAAAGACAAAAAAAAAAAATTTAAAAAAAAAAAAATGAAACAAGAGGATTTTCTACTGAAAATATATTTGGTGATATTAAGTCCTTTTTCCCAGACAATATTTAGAACACATTTAAACTATTTCTCATTCCTAGAAGCTCAGCAAAATGATCTCTCCTTCTCAACCTGACCAAGAATACAAGGTCAGTACCTAAAAATCTTTAATTTACAAAAACAGTATTATACATAAGATTCTTGTATATAGTCCATACTGCGAAAAGATTGAATTAGATACAGAAGCAGTTATAGAATATAGACAAGATGAATCCACAATAAATACAACACAAACACTTTTATGCCTTTTGTATAATATTTGAAAATGCAATCAAAATACACAAAAAAACTTGATATCATTAAGGCTACAGGCTAAAAATAAGTAGATCAGAGTACAATGAAATAGTCAATTGTCAAGATTCCATGACTAATTGCTAAATCCTGTACTCATTGTTCAAAGATGTACAGCATCTTCATTCTGTTCTAATACATTTGTACAATGCTCTGAAGTTTACAAACTTGTATTTGATTTTCTAAATGAGACTGTGAGGACACTGTTATTTTTTAAATGGGAAAATTAATCCTAGTAAAGCAGTGTTTATTAAGTATGTGGAGTATGCTAATAATTATACTAACTTTTGTATCTGAACAAAAGTATACGACAAAGTACCTGCCTTGGTGAAGCTAATGGTTTAAAGAGAGAATCAGAAAAAGCAGTAATACATGATGAAAGGAAAAACACCTGACTGTATGGTAAGCCCTGGAATCCAACCCAAGAATCAGAGTTGTATTTATAAAAAGGCTTTCCAAAGGAGGTGACAGCAACTGATCAAAGGACAAATCCACACCAGCTTAATTTTTTTTTTTTTTTTATCAGTACCGGGGATCTAATTCACGACCACACACTTGCAAGGCAGGCACTTATGCCACTGAGCTAAATCCCCAGCCCATACCAGCTTAATTTTGTGGTGTATCGCTCTTCATTCAGTTCACTTACTTAGAGAAGAGAGATGCAGCACCTGCAGCCTCACTTTGGTGAGAATTCACTTAGTGCAATTAAAAACACTTAGAAGAATTCCTGGCATACCCACATAGATCTAGTTAACTATTGTTATTTTTATTGCTATTTTCCATGTCTCAAATTTGAAAACAACTGAATGCATTATCTATTTAAAAAGTTAACTACAAGAAAATACATGTTCAAAACTGATCAGCTGACATGTTCAAAAATAATCAGCTGACATAAATACATTTTAGAAATTAAGTGTGACTGTCAAATGTTCAGGAAAATTAAAAATAAATTACCCATTAACTACAATCTGATTGTGAGCTCTATTTTCATCCTAAAAAAAAAAGCGTAAGCCATGGATGAACTAATCTTTCAATCTTTACAATGGTATAAAATGCACTGGAAAAAAATGTAAGGAAAAAATTCAGTGGATAGACTTATAATTGTTATATAAAGTTAACAGCCAGCGATACACTGCAGAGTAAGCAACATTTTATACTTAGTGTTCAACAACAGGGTATAGGATCTTAAGAAGCATGAATCCCGCCACTAGCAATTAACAACTCCCATGCATGTCACAGCAGAGCTGGACTAAGGCTGAGGCATGACCAAGGCAGCACTGAAAGTCAGTCCCAGGGAAGAATCCGGGCTGACCCACTTACTGGCTGACAGTCAGCAAGTTCTTTAGTTTATCTAGACCTCAATTCTCTTGTTTTGTACAGCATTGTTATAAAAGTTAAATGAAGCAAGAGAAATTACAGTTCCATACAACCTGACCAACTTTTCACATGAAAGTTCTAAACACAGAATTTATTTTCAACAAAAATTTTCATTTTATTTCCAATGATATAAAGTATTCCTAACAATGATTCCATATTACTCAGATAGGAATGACATTAAATATTTACCAATATACTGAAATTAGCTATTTATCCAAATCTGTAGCAATGCAATATGGCTAAAACTCCACAGTGAAAGTAAAATGGAAAAATTCAGCAAGAGTTATTAACCCCAAATCTGCTGAAATCTCAAACCTATTTTCAGAAATACTGAATGCTAGATTTCCCTGCCAGGAATTTAAGAACTTAGTGCTTAAACATTTGTTGAAAACAGATGTGGCATTGTATGACATTGGCACCAGACTTCCTGGGAAACACCAGATGCAGAGTTTGGCCAGATACAGAACCCAGAGAATGTGAGGCCACCACCTACATCCTGTAGCTCCTTTCTGTGCCACACAACCCAGAGCCCTCTGAGGCATATTTAAACTCTATTAGAGATTCATTTCCATGCCAGAACACCAGGGATATTATGTTGGGGGGAGG